CTTCCCAGGCAGCCTCCAGCCTCTGCCTCTGGGCAGCCCTCCTCACTCTCCTCCTCCTCCTCGACTTTTGATAAGGGAGCGGAGGGTCCCGGGAAGCCCCCACCAAGGGCTCAGCCCACCTCTCCGCCCGGGGACTCCTCTCCGTCGGACGGACGCTGTGCCGGAGGACAGGCCAAGCGTCCTGGGATGGCCGGGGATCGCTCCCGCCGCCGGTCCCGCTGTACAGACCCCACCATGTGCCACCAGAGACTCTCACCCGCCATCGTCACCCCGGGGATGTGGCGCGGCACGGATGGGGCTGGGCACGGCCGCCTCGTCACCCGGGCGGGGAGGGGCAACGGAGCCATCGCCGGGGGTGTCCATCTCGTCATCTTGCTAAGCCACCCTGAGGTTGATGCCTCCTGGCTCTGCCTTCAGCCCTCTCGCTCATGAATGTCAGTTCTCACCGCCAAAGCTCCTCCCCAAATGCCCCCACCCACCGTCGATGCTCAGTGGTTCTTTCTGAGGAGGGGGTCACCCAACACAACCACTTACCCTTCAAGGGTCATGCACCTCCTGCTGCTCCTTCTCCCAGCTAATATCATGAGCCCCTCCTAAAACCCTTCACCTTCCTGAGGGCACAAGGCTGCTTTTCCCAGGAGTGGGAGCCCTGGAGACTGCTGCCATCCTTCATGGGAACAGGAGTCTTCCCATCACTCTGGCTCCCTTTGGACTCCCACTTGCTCTGCTGCTGTCCCCCTAACGCCAGGACTCACTGTTGCCCTGCCAGCACTTACCAGGTTGGGGGGTTGTTTCCTCCAGCCTTGTTGTCCAAGCACTTTCCAACCTACGCATCAAAAGCACAGCTCCACCAACACGAGGCAGAGGCACTGAACCTCACAGCAAAACACCAGCTGAAAAGCCCCTTTTCCTACAGCTCCGAGGTCTGCACCTTGGCCACCTGGCTCCCCAGTCCATCTCCCAGCATGGCCTCCTCACACCATTCAGCCAAGCAGCTCTGCCTCTCCACGAGGCAGAATCCAATGCATTTGGACCTGTGGAGGAGTCTCAGGCCCTGTCAAGCTCTGCACTGATATGGCAGGGACAAGGATGGCTGTTATGCCCCTAGCTCGCTGCTTGCCAGTCCTCCCTGCTGCCACATGCCTTCACCAACAAAATGGATGCAGCCAGACTCAACCCTCTACTTCCTCCAGCCACCCTGGGAGCCTCCACCCCCACCCCTGCCACCCTCAACAGTGGTGGCCCCCTTCACTGGGTACATGATGTCAGCCCCAAGCCTTCTCAGTGTTCTGTGACCACCTGGGAACACTCTGGAGCCACTCTGTCTGGGGACAGACCCTCCCATCCTGCTCCTGAAGAGTCACTTGCAGCACCAGACCCTACACCTGCAACGGGGACACAAGTCTACAGCCCTGCTCTGAGCAAGCACACAAAGCACCGCTCTGTCCTGACCCAGCACCTCCCCAGCCCTTGTCTCTTCTTTCTCCCTCCGTAAGTGAGATGGCACCACAACATTGGTCCTGCAGACATTGTCTTTCCCACCCAACTTGCCGCTGCCAAAACCTCCTTGCCTAGCTGTCCCACTTTCTGTGCCTGGGAGGAAACTGGGGAAGTGGCCCTCAGTGCATAACATAGTGAAAGAAAAGAAACCCACAACCCCCAGTCCTGAGGCTGTGACATGTCACCTCTCCGTCCTCTTTGTTGCCATGACCACACCTCGTCCCCTGCTCTCCACAGGCCACCTGGGACCTGTGGCATGAGTCTGTCATTGAATTAAAGAAAAAAACAAGCTACAAAATTTCTCCCAGTGCTGCTGCCCCACGCACTCTGGGCGGTCAACGTGTTCTGCAGCTGACTGGCAAAATCCACCCGGCCCGATGCGCTGGCTTACCTGGCGGGCAGGAATCTCACACAGCCCAGAAAGTCCATGTCCCGTGGTCCCTGCAGTGTTGCTCCACTTCACCACTGGCATCCCAGAAAGGAAGCGCCAGCAGCAAACCACATCCTACCGTTGGCACTGTCTTCAGCTGGCATGGTGACATGCATGTCCTGCCCCCGCGTGCCCACGCCACAAGTACCCTTGGGCATGGGAGACGCCTTGCCCCGATGCCTTGGCTGGTCCACACCACCCCGGTACCTCCCCATGCTCCTTCCCAGGCCAGCCCCACATCACCCTGTCGGCAGAACCGCTGAACCAGCCCCAGGGCTGGAGGTGACAGATTGGGGTGCAGAGGCGATGAGGAGACGCACACGCACACACTCTTGCTCACTCACTCTCTGAGGCTGGTGGACCCAGGGCCGCCCCTGTCCCATCCTTCTCCTCCCTGGGTGGGGTGGGCTCCCTTGTCCTCCTCCACAGCATCCGACTTTCTCGTGCCATGTAACGTGCCATTGTGAGGAACGTGTTGGCTGTCTGAGGCCGGCCCCGCTGCAGCTCAGCCCGGGGTAGGGTGAACACCCCCCTCGTTCAGATGCCCTGGGTGGGGGGTGCTGCTGGGTGCCCAGGGCACGGGGAGAGCAGCTCCCGGTGCTCTCCTCCTGCCGACGGCCAGTCTTGAGTTTCCGTCGATCATTGTATTCCAAGGGTGGCTAAACTACCTGAGATTTGTGCATGTTACATTGTAGTTGTAACCTTTTCTAATTCGGCAAGAATAAGAGATGGTTGTGATTGTGCAGTGTATCAATAAAGTTTGACGAACTTTGTACCTTTGGGGCTTTGCTTTGCGGACCCCATGCGCCCCTGGGGGTGCTCCTGAGCCCCCCCAATGCTCCTGTAGCCTCACTCTGTGCTTAACTGGAGCCTCCTTCAATCACCCCTTGTAACAGTGACACTTTGAGCTCTCCAGCCTCAGCGCCGTTTGTGCCATCCCTCGCCCTGTCTCCCGCCTTCCCCAGGAACCAGTTTTGTGGCTCTGCTGATGTGTCCCAGGTCCAGGCCACCGATGAGCATATACCTGCTGACAGAGCCCCTGACAGGGAAGGACCAGTGTTGCTCTCACTGCTCCCCTGCACTCATCAGTAATGGCATCATCAGAGACCTCCCTCCAGCAATCGAGCAGTTCCCAGCATCTTCTCCATCCGCTCAATTGGACAAATAAACTTAGCACTGTGCAAGGGACATCTCTGCAGACAACACACCCCAAGGGTGGTTCACTCCTATCACAATCTGACGGTGTGTGACATGGATGAAGTCTTCCAGAAAGGACAAAGACAACAAAGATCTGGAGGAGGAGCCGTGACCTTTGATGTCTCCCTGGCATGGTTACCATCTCACTCTAAAAATGTGGGGCTGCCTCTGATGGAGCCTGCATGGCCACTGAGAGTCCCCCTTTCCCAGGATGGGAAGGCTGCTGGGGACAACTGAGGTGACCACAGACAAGTTGAGAGGGCTGTGGGACAACGCCAAATGTATCAGGGGGTTCCTTCCTTTGTTCAATCCCCTCTTGTCTCCTCCCTACATACAGATGTACATACAGCTTGGTCCTGAGAATTTATCCCAAACCCCCTCCCATTGGCAGTGCACACTTGTGCACAGCAGGCAGCCAAGCCAATGGCTTCCTCCCAAGCACTGCTACAAACTACGACAACTCCAACATCAGGAGTTCCTTTCAGAAAGGTAAGTGCTTCCCAAAAACCTGCTGGCTTCCCCAGGACAGGGCTCTGGTAGAGGAGAGCTACCCCACCTGCCTGACACTGCCCTGGTTGCCCCAAACACCCCGAATGCTCCTGCAGCTCCCCATGACCCTGGCAGAAATCCTTTTGGCCTCAGGCGTGAGACAAGTGACATCCTGACCTCCACACAGGGGATCCACACAAGCCTGGTGTGTGTAATCAGTGTGGGAAACCCTCTGTCTGGAGCCTCTGTCTAAATTAAACTCCATCAGGGAGGCCGGACTGGTGTGATGTAACTACAGGTGCCATAAAAGAATGCTCACCTCTCGCAGCCCATACACATCCCACCAGTGACAGGGCCTCACTAACAACTCTGCTGCAGAGAAACACCTGCAGAAACCCAAACAGCCTGGATCTTGGTGACACCTGGGCCTGTGTCTAAGGACAAGGACTACAGCTGCCACATCCAGAGGGACAGAGAGCATATTTCAGGCCTCAAGGCCCACCTCTCCCCAAGACGTCTCCCACCGAGACATATCAATAAATATTGATAAATAAATATAGACATAAATGTATCAGCCTCTCCCTCTTGAACTTGCTCAGACTTTGTCACTGGACACTCCTTCCTATCTCACCTAAAGCACCAAACAATTTGACATTATAGGGAGGAGGTGAGGAAGGTACAGGGAGGGGTACCAGCCTGGTACCTTCATACCCATTCTTGGGTGCTGGGTCAGACCTCTCCCCACAACTCCAAGCATCTGGGGTTACCTCTCCTGCTGGGCTTGCTCTACTTCAAACAACTGTCCCTGCCAGGGAGTCCCAAGACCTGCACAAGGAACCCAGGACCTCTTCCCGTGGGAGAGACAGATCTGCACACCCCACTGTCCTGTCTCCATTTCCTCACTACCCTGTCCCTCACTTTGGATGTGTGACAGATCTGCACACCCCACTGTCCTGTCTCCCTGTCCCTCACTTTGGATGTGCCTTGAAGGCTTAAGGACACAGCACTCCTTGTCCCCTGGCACAGGCGTATCTCAGCTGCCATGGACCACGCTGCAAAGCAACACCTTGCCATCCCTTTTGATCTCTCCCCATTCTCCACATCCATTGCTTGAGCTGCACAACCTCATCAATGCATCAAGAAAAAAAAACACCAAAAACCAGTTCTGCCATTGCTACTGACCAACTTCTGATCCTCCAAAACCATCCCAGGCACCTCAGGGAGGCAGGCAGCCTGGAGGCTACGGTTGAGGCTGGAGGACCAAACACACCAAGGAACCTTCTGCAAATCAGCAACAAACCAATACACCAGCCCAGACAAGCCCCAGCACAGCCCTGCGCCATGGGACAGGGAGGTTGTACCTACCCCAAACATGCTGCCTCACATAGGAACACCTGCTTTCCTACACTCACCTCCATCACCGTGTCTCTTCTTCCTGTGGGATTCACATTGTGA